ATTTTAAAACAACAAAAAATCTGAACTTCTTCTTCTTCTTCTATACAATTAAATATTCCTGTACAATTTTTTCCTTTATGTTTCATCTTATTGTTACAGATCATGGTATGTTTTTTACCGTCATTAATTTATGCTTATGTTATTAATTGTTGTTTTTGAGTACATGTTTTAAACTTTGTTGTTTATGTTTCTGCAAATTATTGTTTATGTATTTGTTAGTACAAATTAAACATCACACGTTAATTGAGTATTCACACAAGTTTTCTCTACTGAAATTGTTGAAGGTATAGTAAAAAAATTCCTTAAAGATCTATACTATTATCTCTTGAAGACAAAATTCAAATTTGGTATGCCATTGTAAGGACAGAAAGATCTTAAAAACTTTATCGCACCTTGATGTGCAAAGTGAACCAGGAAAAGAAGACAAGAATTAATAAACTTTTGACATGAGTTCAAGGATGTGTCGGATGACCTGTAGAGGAATATGACTAGACTGAGTCTCTTTTAATCTCAAAGACATAGATAACTACACAATAAATTAATTGTTCATATTCAATATGAAGTATGAACAGATTCTCAAGTTTACTGCAAGTTGTAAAAACTTTCTTGAAGTAATAGATGTGTTTCTCGACACTGTGATTGGAATAGAGGTGTAGTTTCAAATTGAACTTAATCACTCTGGTATGTTGATTTTTAAAAAACAACCAAACAAACTGAATAATTTGTGTAATCTTTTTCCCTTTCAAGTATATATAATAAGTTGAATTGTTGTCAAATATGATGCATTCTCCCTTTAATTTTTCATTTTAATAAGTAAAAATTAGGCAAATCACATAGTATAAGAAATAAATTACTTCCTATCCCTACTCTTTCATTAATTACCAAAAATCCCTTTTTTTAGTGTCTTTCGGATACATAATATTACAGGCAGATACTTTAATTAATAAAGGGCGGATACTTAAATTATTAAGTTGTTGTTATCAGTTTAATGCATTAAATAAGGGATTAAAACGGAAATTATAATTGACTCCCACAAATCACGCGTATGTTTCTTCCTTCAACCAATCAGTCGTTCATAAACCTCTAACTGAATTATAATTTTTAAATTTCAAATTGTGAAACCTTCTCCCCGTTCTTCGAAAAAACAGTAAAAGTTTGATTCAAAGAATTTTTATGCTTCATGTGTACTAATTTTCTGGATATTTTGAATCTGCTAATAAGATATTATCATTTGGTGTGATTTTAACTTTATATAAATGTACAAACTGTTGAATATGCATTTTTTGCCTGTATGGCGTACTTTCGATCTCTCCTAATGTTACTTCTCGAGTCTCTGAACAACTTCTCAAAGCCCCACAGTCTGTAACAACCACCATATGTAATTAAGTAACAAATGGAGAGTATGAAAGGAATATGTAAAAAAAATAATCATTTCAATGCTGATTTCATGGTCAGTACCTAAAAGCTTTACAATAACATAACCACTTGATACTAAATATATTGAATTGTTTTATACCTAGTGTAAAACATCTTGTATCATGTGTTGGGGAATATAACAATTAAGTTATTTGATAATTTATTTAGTATCATATACGTTATAGTTCAACTATATTTTGTATCTGATAATAAAAAATTGTTAGTTGTTATGATTTAAATCAATGTTACAAGATTCAACCTGTTAAAGGATACTAAATATATTGAAGCTTAATTGTTTTGTACCAATTGTAACATATACACAAATTTGTTATTTGATAATAAAATGTGTATCATATACATAATAATTTTATGGATATTGTGTATCTGATAATAATATAGTATCATATGTTGTGATTTACATCAAGGCTACCACATGTTAATAGATACTAAATAAATTGAAAATTAGTTGTTATTTACCAAGTGTAGAATATATAGTATCAGATATTTTGTATCTGATGGTTATATTGTATCAACAGTATTGGTGTATAAGATACAATTTGTAACAAGATACTATATAATAAGCTATATATATTGGAATAATAATTAAAATTGAAATACAATTTTTGACAAAAAACAGTCTTCAAATTAATAATTACTTAGAATAATTGTGTTGAAACGGGAAGAATATTACAAAATACTAATTAACGTATCTTCAATACAATAAAACATAAGTATTCTACATTAATCATTCCACCTTCTGCTGGTGTAGTGTAGCCACTCTTCGGCCTTGTAGGATCATCATTATCGCTAACATATCTCGCCTTGAACTTGTCCATACCATACTTCCATAACAGTGTTGCATATCTATTGCGAAAATAGTCACTCCGAAAACTAATAGATGGAATGTTGATTTCGTCGCTCAAGTATTCAACAAAAATAGGTACATACATTCCACAATCATTGCAAACAAAAAGTAGATACATTAAAAAAGAGAATTAAATGTGTAAGTAAATAAATTATTTTACAATACTAACAGGCTATCGCTTTGTTGTTGCATAATGTCTTGAGCATATTCCAACTCAAACGACTGTTGTGGACCCAACAATTCACCAGTTTCCTTGTCTTTGTACGCCAACATTGATGCCCAAATTCTCATAACCATTTTTATTCTTTTAAGTATCATATAGAGAATTATCATTGACTATGATGCACAGTACCAAAACCAACCTAGATGCCAAATTGTGAATTAAGCAAGTATCTTAGATACAATAATGTTCATTTCATTTGATACTAAATAACAACAAAACATAAGAAAGCATAAGAGGTACACAAATTCAATTATTCCTTATATACAGTGACAAAAAATAACCTACAAAGTAACTGTGATTCGAGTACTTAACTTCGATACAATTCTCTTCACTTTTGATAGAATAACAATTAATAAACAAATTCGCAAAAAATTAATGTATCTGGAAAACAATTGCATATTTCAAAGAGGATACTTAATAAAAAAATAAGAAATTATTTATCATCAGATTAAAAAAAATCAGGGGATACATATATGATAAAAATTGCATACCATGGGTACTGTTGGTCGATTAATGGGAGGGACAACCTTTCTACCCCTTTTCTTTGGGGTTTTCAGATCTTTTGAAGTGGATGCATGTACTTTTTTTACCGATTTTCTCTTGCTAGAACTTTGATTTGTCATGACTATCGGGTCATGCAACCTTTTAGAACTCAATTCTTTGCTGTTAGGATCTTCTGAATAAAAAAATAGAGATTTGTTAGATGTTAGATGCATAATGCAAGAGCCAAAACGATTGATACACAATAAAAGAAAAAAAAAGGCGGAAATCACAATGGAGAAGATGAGAAAACCTAATTTGAACTCTGAATCCGGTTGAATAGTGATAAGATTCTTTTGAAATTCAAAATTATTTGAATTTGATAACTGAAATTGTAATGGGAGAGATTGAGGGCGAAATTTAGGGAATGGAAAAAGTCTGATTTGACTTCCAAATAATAAAGTATTCGGTTAAGTTGAATTGAGGGAAAATAAGGAATTTTTGTATTTTAATAAAAGAGTAGGAAAATATTGAGAATAGGTAAAGTAATGTTGTGTATTTACGTAATTTGTCCTTTTAATAATTACTTATGATACATTTAAATGAGAAACTTTAAAATGATATATGTAAAGCAAAAGGTATAGCTAAACTTTCTACATGTTAGAATTAGAATATTTGTTCATTTTTTTCATCCTTTTAAAATTTATTTATCCCTTCACCAACAATTTTTTATTTATTAGAAAATTTAATATCTCTAGTATGATTGATGGTCATTTGAATCCCCAAAAATATCAAGTATAATAACACTTCCCGGGCGAAAAAGATAAATTATAAAATCAAATTAAAGATGATTGATTGAAGGATAAATGATAAGATATTATAATTATCATCTTTCTTTACATTATTAATGTTTGTTATATGTAATCTTGTATGTAAGATAATATAGTGCTTTAGTTTTAATGACTCATATGTTTTAAGTATTATTTTATAAATTCAGTGATATTAAATTCCTGCGCGAAACGCAGGTGATTTTACTAGTATTAGAATAATAACAATTTAAAATAATAAAAATTAAAATACATTAAAATAATGGACAATGTATAAGTACCCCCAACCTATGCCCGAAATCGCAGAGATGCACTTATACTATACTAAGATCCTATTATCCCCAAACTTATTTTATAAATAATTTTCTATCCCTTTTCGACGGCACTATATGCCTTAGAGTTTTTTAAGCAAGTTAAATTGTTTCCATAAAATATTAAATTTTAAGTAGGTAATTATTTTGTAGGTGAAAACGAGGCAGATATCAAATAATTTTAATAGTTTCTTCATATTACGAGGTTAAATTTAGCAAAGGAAAAATTTCGTAGTGTTATATGTGAAAGAATACAATTTTTCTCTTATTTGACCTGTAAACCCAGCTTCATATTTTGAGGTAAAATCACCCAATACTAATTTTTTTGATTCATCAGTTAATCACTCAAGTGAAGAAGTTTCAAATTTGCCCTCCCTCATTCTCCTTCCAATCAAGGTAATCTCACTTTAATTCCTGAATTTTTGATACTTAAATGGAAGATGGGTATTTTAATTAGATGAATTGAGCTTTTGTAACAACTGATTTGGTATTTGGATGGAGATTTTGATCTTATTCTTTATCTTTTGATATCACAAACATTCAATAGTAACTGTTGGGTTTCCTTCTTTGTATATGAGGGAAACAGAAGAATTTCGTGTTCCAACATAAAATTAAAGTTGCTGTCTTTTTGTAATTTCTGTTCGTTTGTGATTTTTTTTTTGGATTGTGATCTAGTTTTGTTTTGTGTTTAATTCCTACTTGTCAAGATGTAATTCCAAGTGCTAATTGCTATTTTTAGTAAGCCCTCTTGTTATCTTGTGCTGCTTCTACTACTATTTGCATTGTTGAAGTATACAAGTTAAAATCTTTATAATGAATTAGCTGTTATCGGGTTTGTCTTTCTCAGATGGGATTTTTGAGGTTGTGGATTTGGGTTTCTCTATGCAGTTTTTCTTATCAAGATGTTTGTTTTCTTTTTTTGATTTTCCAGCTGCGAAGCAACTTACATTTTGCAAATTTTAGTCAAAGATTTATGTTTCTCAGAGGTAATGTAATGCACATAATTGAAATAATTTTTGTTTCTGAAATACTGACTAATGATGTCCCAACTTAGAATGGAGGTCTTTCAGTTATTCAGACTTATATACAATATCCATCTAGACCTTCTACTTAGTATATATCTTCCTTGATCATAAACTAATTTTCCTGGACTCTGTTTGCAGGGTTAAAGAGCTAACTGTTTCTGCAAAGCCATAGATAAAAACGGTAGCGAGTGAAGACTTAAATGGAGCTTGACCTGGATTCATTTTTAGATTCACACGCTGAAGATGATGATGATGATCACTTACTGCATCATCGCACTGTTGATGAAATTCTCCTCAACCACTCTTCCTCTTCTTCTTCTTCGCCGTCTCCTCCTTCTTCTCCATCTTCTTTGCATAGACGCAATGATCTAGATCGTCGCAATCGCTCGGCAGAATCATCTTTTCAATCCCTAAAACCACCATTAGGGTTGCATCAGACAGAGTCAAGAGCAGAGTCAATTAGTCGTAAACAATCGAGTGAATTTTCTTCACCACCAGCAGGCCAGAGTGTGTTGCCACCATTCTTCAGTGGGGTCATCAGATCAAATTCAAAACCTGGAGATGCCTTGGCTGCTGCTTTCGCTGCATCCCGCTCCATTCCCGCACCTCGTGCAGCAGCCATCAAATCCAGAAAAGCAAGCTCCGGAGTGCTGCAAAGGGCCTTGGAAACTGATGAATCGGCTCCTATAGATCCTCCAGCTCGCACTAATGCCGACATTTCTGACAAAAATCTTGCTACTTTTGGGCACACAGTGTTTTTACACGAGATTGGTTCTGAGACTATTGGTTTGGAAGGTAACATAAAGGATCAGTTTCAAGCTGGTCAAGTTCAACTAAGTGATACAGACAATGGTAGTAAGGAGGTATCTACAGTGGATGCAGGTATGGACAATATGAATGTTTCTGATGCAGGTGATGTTTCTGTGGTGGATGATTTTTCAGTTAAAAGTAATTTGAATGAAGCTCTAAGTTATACTGGAACTCAAGTGGAATCTCCTAGTAGAACTGAATCAGACTCGGTTTTTCATGATAGCTCTGGGTTGGATGAGATTGAAGATAGACAAGTTCAACCTTTATTTGGAGGTGAAGATAATGTTGTAAGTGCGGATAGCAGTGAAGAAGCTGGTACTAAGGAGATACTCTCTTCTCCAGTCTATGAGACTCTTTCTGATGAAGATTTGACTAAGAATGATGGTGCAAAGCTTGAGCATGAAAATGTAATTCCTCAATCCAAAGAAGGAGAGGTCAGTTCCAATGGAGATGAAACCAATTCTTTAAATGATGCTGCAAGTATCATTGATGAGTTAGTTTTACAGCAGGAAAGTATGAGGGATAGTACAAATCCTCAAAAGAATTACCATTCTGCCTTGAACCCCCTAGAATTGGCTGAGGAAGCTGAAAAGAAGCAGGCCTTCACGGCTATGCATTTAGAAGAGGGTGCTTCTGCTCAACCAATGAGGCTTGATGGAGTTCATAGGAGTTCTAATGTCCTGGGTTACTTTGATGTAGATGACAACAATACCATCACCCAAACCCTATTATCTCAAGCTTTTAGGCGTGAGCATGGATCTTCACAGGTCCTGGCTGTTCACCTCAAATACATTGCTGTGGGAATGTCCAAAGGATCAATTCTTGTGATGCCAAGCAGATACTCCTCCTCACATCATGATGCCAAGGTTTTTGTGCTAATTAGCTTTGTGCACCGGCACCTTATTACAGTGATTGACCACATTGTGAATTAAATTTTGATAAAAAGTATTGTTCTATTCCAAGAAGTCTCATTCATTCCCTCCTCTTTGAACTTATAAGGTTGTAATTTAACAAATATCTTCTTCGTGTAATCACATTTGAAAAGGAAATTGCTCATCGTAGAATCTCCATATTGGTATTGTGTATATTTTCTTGTTACTTGCATTATAGATTTTGGATTCGACTGAATAATTAAATATTTTACTTTCTGATGGTAGAAATGTGTATATATTTCAGATGTTGATATTTGGATTACCGGGAGATAAATCTCATGCCCCTGTAACTTGCTTGAGCTTTAATCAGCAAGGGGACATGCTCTTTGCCGGATATGGTGATGGGCATTATACTGTATGGGACGTACAAAGGGCCTCTGTGCTTAAAGTTGTCACTGAACATAAAGCTCCAGTTGTTCACCTTTTATATTTAGGGCAAGATTCTCAAGTTACTCGACAGTTTATTGTGCTCAGCGGTGATACTAAAGGTGTAGTTAACTTAGACCGGTTTACAGTGTTTCCCTTGTTCAATAGAATCTCCCTTTCGAAGTCGCAGGTAATTTTATCCTTTTCATGCTTCTCAATTGACATGAATATCCTTCTCAAAATATTGACATGAATAACATGCATCTCTAGGTTGAATAATATATGTTAACATTTAAACAGGAACTGCTAAATGAAAGCAACAGCACTACATTATGTGCTGTGTCACTACTATCTGGTGAAAGTTATGGAAGTGCTATGGTGGCGGCAAGTCAAGAGGGAGGCAGCCCTTCTTTGATTGAGGAAGGTGTGGTCATACTTGGCACACACCAATATGCTCTAGTGGTATGAAGTTCTTAGAGCATTCATTGGCCTGGAAAGATTTCACTATCTCCCGAAACCCAAACTCCTTGTAAATGATTAATTTAACCTTCATTCTGCTTCTTGGGTCAAGACTTCTGTTTCACTGTCTTTTGCAGGCAAAATTAAGCCCCACATTTAAAGTTTATGCTAAAATTCCACGTCCTGATGGTGCTAGGGAGGGTTCAATGCCCTATGCTGCTTGGAAATGTATGGAATCACATATTTCTTCAGTTTTGGTATGTATGAATTTTGGCTGTGGATATGTTGCATTTGAGCTTGCTAAGATTGTTTTTGTTGCAGCAGAAAGTATTTCCACTGAAACATCAGAAAAAGTTTCACTGCTTGCAATTGCTTGGGATCGAAGAGTTCAGGTTGCAAAGCTGGTGAAATCTGAGCTAAAAGTCTGTTGGAGATGGACTACGGATAGCTCAGCAGTTGGGCTGGCATGGTTGGATGAACAGGTACATAAAGTTCTTGGTGTTTTATCAGGAACTTCCTTTTCTCATCTTTTATCTGCAATATTTTGAGTACTTGCATTTAGGTTTGGACAGAAGTACAAAAATTACAAAGATCTTTTACTTGTCCAGATTTTGGTAATTCTCACAGCAACTGGACAGCTTTGTTTGTTTTCAAAAGATGGGAATTTGATCCACCAGAGAAGTTTTTCTATGGATGGATCTTGTGGAGAGGATCTCATGTCATACCATGCCTACTTCAGCAATGTCTTTGGAAATCCTGAGAAAGCTCATCACAATTGTTTAGGTGTCAGGGGGGCAACTTTGTACATTCTTCGGCCATCCCAGCTTGTTGTTTCACGCCTTCTTTCCTGGAAGGAACGAATAGAAGTTTTACATAAAGCAGGTGACTGGACGAGTGCACTGAACATGGCAATGTCTCTTTATGATGGTCAAGCACATGCTGTTATTGACCTTCCAAAGAATTTGGATGATGTGCAGAAGACCCTTATGCCATATCTTGTACAACTGCTGTTGTCATATGTAGATGAGGTGTTCTCCTACATAGCAGTGACATCTGGCAACCAACATGGGCAGCCAGGCCAATCAAATGAATTGAAGTATGATGCTGACTTTGTGAATCCTGATATTAAGGAGCAGTACACTCTGGTTGGTGGTGTTTCCGTTGAATTCTGTCTTCATATCAAGAGACTTGATGTTCTCTTTGATGAAATTTTTCCAAAGTATGTTGCTGTGAATCACAAGGGTATGTTGCAATGTGTTTATACTTTAACATCCTGCATTATGTCCCATGTCAACTATTTGGGGCTTGTTTCTATGTTTGATGCCTCCTTGATGAAAAAGAAAATTGCTTGCACAAAACTATAATATATTAATGAGTGCCTCCAAGTACTGTGGTGAATTAACTAGGTTAACAATTTTTGAGGAATCGAAGATAATAGGGTGAACATATTATTAAGCAGAGTTTGAATTGAAAAGGACAAAACATAGTCTGAATAAAGAATTATTTCAGGTTTGTTTTGGTAACTTTTTCCTTCCCCCCAACTCCCCTCCTCTCTCCTGTCCACTAACCTCTGGAACTCAACTTTCTGCAGTAACAGACTTATTCCTTCCGTAGCAAACGAAGCCTAGAAACTAGTTATATATAGATAAGAACAATAGTACAATCTGATGTCTAATGGAGCCCCCAGGGGATAGAAGTTCAAATTCCGTCAGAGGCGACACTAAGTAAATTCTTCTCATCTTTCTAAGACTTAACATGCAAAGTTATTGGTTCCCGTGCTGGTGGGAGGTAGCAGGTACCCAGTATATTAGTTGAGTTTTGTTAAGCTTAGCCTGGATTCCATTGCTATCAAAAAAGGGAATAGAATAGAAACATCTAGCAGACTGTCAGTTAATCTTTTAATTTTGTTCGTGTTCCTCCTGTGGAATTTTGGCCTTTTTCTGTTCTCATTTACTCCAATTTTCAACAAGTTATATTGCCTTGAAACTATTACTCTGGCCAAATTATATGTTTCCATGTACAGATACATTTTTGGAGCTTCTGGAGCCATATATATTGAAAGACATGCTAGGATCTTTACCACCTGAGGTATATCTGTGGTTTTGCTTTGTTAATGTTTTTTGAATTGGGGTGTTTTATGCCTCATATTACTTTACTGTGACTTGATTTGTCATTCATTTTTAAAAGCTTATAATGTATGCTGATATACTGTGATCTGTTATTGCTGAAGATAATGCAAGCACTAGTCGAGCACTATAGCACTAAAGGTTGGTTACAGCGTGTTGAACAGTGTGTTCTCCACATGGACATGTTGTCCCTGGATTTCAATCAGGTATTGCTGCTTGTTTTATAAGTCAAAATTTATGATTACTGCTTTATGAACAGATGAAGGTTCTCATTAATAAGACGTGAATGCAAAGGACAGTTGTCCGCAAACAGGAAAAAAGTTGCCTAAATCAAATAAAGCTTCCACTATAGGCTTTGATTTGGATTTTTTTCTCTCTTTCCTGTGAATTTGTCGGATTTAGCTGTTAAATTTTTAATCTATTTTGTAGGTTGTTCGCCTATGCAGGGAGCATAGACTGCATGGTGCATTGATCTATTTGTTCAACAAAGGCCTTGATGATTTTAGGACTCCATTGGAAGAGCTCTTTTTAATTTTGCGGGATAGCAAAAGAGAAAGTGCTACTGCTCTTGGGTAAATTGATTTATGTGTATATTGGATATATTAATATCTAATGAACATGACGTATTCCATGTACAAGTTTGATATCCCCATATAATGTTAATTTTCTGCCTAAAGTAGGTGATCCAATTCCTAAAGTGTCATTTATTATTTTTGACATTTTTATAAATGCACATTGGTGTTTTCAAGTAAACAAACTTCACCTTCCTCGTGGAAACAGGTACAAGATGCTTGTTTACCTCAAGTACTGCTTCCAAGGTTTTGCTTTTCCTCCAGGTTGGTCTGCAATATGTTATTTATAACTTCTATACGAGTAAATTTAGGTTGGTTTTCCGCATTTGATAATGTGTGCTTAAAAAAATTAGTCCGTCTTTAATAAGCTTGAGAACAGAAGCAAAAGGGATATATTTGGGTTTCACTTTGCTCATACTATATCCTTTGCGATTCTATTTTATTTTCTACCATGGTCGTTGATTCTTGTGATATCAGTTAAATTTGAAAAAAAATTTAATGAAAAAAGAAGTTAATTTTGAAAGGTTTGGTGGTATAAGATCAAATGAAGAAACAATCCAGATTAAAGGAAATATAAAATTGTCAATTATTTTATGCGCATGTGTGTTAAAGCATTCAGCTTCATGTACCTTGAGGGCGATTGAGAGAACTTGACACTTCCCTTGTTTGTGTTAGCATCGGAGCCTTCAAGGAGACAATTACTTTGGTTGTATGGTTAGACTGGTTTTAGATAGATAATGTAGTTATATATTAGATTCCTTGTAAGAAGATTAAGGATTTTTGGGTTAGTGAATCACTGATGTAATGATGCAACTACCATTTTGGTTTCCAACACAAATTGTGTATATATATATACTGAATCTGTTACCTTCTCAAAAAAACCAAAAACCAAAAGAAAAGAAGAAGATAGATAGTGTAGTTCAAGGAGAAACTGAAGGACACGAGTAAGAGACTTTGGGGATGTGAAAGATGGGATAAACAAGGCGCTAGAGAATCTCGAGAAAGTTAACAGATTAGAGGAATATTCCCTCACACGTGGTTATTCTCAAAAGGGAAGGGCTCAATTATGCCATCAAACTTTGAGAAAAGGCTCATCTATGCCATCCGTTAAAAGTTTGACTCATCTATGCCATTACCGTTTAAGAAAAGGCTCATCCATGCCATTTTTTAACAGTGGTTTTGCAAAATCATTTTTTACACGTGGCAAATTATAATTCAGCCACTTTATTATTATTATTATTTAAAAAAAAACAAAATTCTAAATAAAATTAGAATTAAAATAAGCCACCCAAATTTTAAAATCCCTATAACCACCAGTAACCCAATTCTTTCATTCACTTTTTCAATCTAATTCTTTCATTCACTTTATTGATGTGCCATATACAGGAAGCCATTTCCTGTTTTAATTGACTGTGGTATTCATTGTCAGCTGTTAATTAAACTTCAGATTATATTCATCTTTATAATTGATATCATGTACTCTGGAACTACAAGAAGCACTACGGAGTGCTTGCTTTGGCCTTAACAAAGATGCTCAAGCAATCTCTTGCAACTCGGATCCTCGTATGATAAAAAGCTAAAAACTGATATGTAACCTTTGGCATACAACAAAGTTTCAGATGGTATTCTCATTCCTTGTGCTTCAAACATTCCATAAGAATTTCTTCAATATGTTTTCGCTGTTGCCGAAATTCACTTTTTTTAGCTTGAGAAAGTGAATGAAAGAATTGGGTTACTGATTGTTATAGGGATTTTAAAATTTGGGTGGGTCTTTATTCAGGTGGGTTATTTTAATTTTAATTTTTGTTTAGAATTTTTTTTTTAAAATAATGACGTGGTTGAATTATAATTGGCCACATGTAAAAAATGGTTTTGCAAAACCACTGTTAAAAATAATGGCATGGATGGGCCTTTACTTAAACAGTAATGGCGTAGATGAGCCAAACTTTTTTACGGATGGCATAGATGAGCCTTTACTCAAAGTTCGATGGCATATTTGAGCTTTTTCCCTTCTCAAAATTGATTTTTACATATTTTCCCTTATTAATATATATTGTGACATGTTGCATTGCCTATATACTGTTCTCTTTACGGATTTAGTCTTTGAAGACCGACACAGTAAATATCCTAATCATATATGCACCTCGGCATCTTGTCCAGGAGAGAAACAACAAGGATTGGGAATGTGTGTGTGTGTGTGGGGGGGGATTATGCTGAGGAATTTCTAAGGGAATGAAATGAATCTTTAAAAATAATTTTAGCTATTTTGCATTTCTGCTTCTTGTGGGGACCTTAATGCGGTATTTCACACACTATCTTTTATTAGTTATTACTTAGTTGTGCTTTTTGTGTTTTGCTTCAAGCAATTGATGATGAACTGTGCAGGGCGTGGAGCATTCCCTTCCACACGTGTGCCATCTCTTAAAAGAGAGCTTGTGCAATTTTTGTTGGAGGAAGCGAGTTCTCCAAATTCTTCGACAGCAATGTGCTTACCTTACAGTGGACCGAACCCAAACCTTCTCTCTCTGTTAGAGCTCGACACAGAGGCCACCTTGGATGTTTTGCGATATGCATTTGTAGAAGGTGAAAATGAAAGTTACAGTCCTGCATCGGATCCAGCCAATTCAAAGATGGAAACAACTGAAGTAGTCATTTCAACTATCGAAGGCATAAACTTAGTTCAGAAAGTAGTAAATGTCCTTGCGGTCATTCTTAATCTGAGTTATTTCCAAACTGGTGGTACCTTTAACAATAAAGATGAAATATGTACTGACATTTGGCCTACAAGGAAAGATACCGAATACATATTAGATTTTATTTCCTTTTTAATTGCCTCTGAAAAAGCTAAGGTTTCAAAAGATACCCTTCGTCAAATTTTTGAGTACCTGACACTGGGTAACGAAACTTACCCTAACGTTTCTGGGCGGATAGTTGAAACCTTCAATAGGAAACAGAAGCAACTGACTGCACTTTTAGAAGTTTTGCCAGGGGAAGACTGGGATGCTGATTACTTACTGAATTTATGTGAGAGGGCTCAGCTGCATCAGGTACTTTTCCATGCTAAACTGTTTCTGTTCCTTTTTCTTCTGTCAAGTATCAATGACTTCAATTATTTAAGAGAGCATACTATTTATTTTAGGTCTGCGGCTTAATTCATGCCATCACACATCAGTATCTTTCTGCTTTAGACAGTTATATGAAAGCTGTTGATGAGCCTATTCTTGCTTTCGTATATGTTGATGACATGTTGCGGCAACTGAGAGGCAAAGAATCTGATGCTTTCAGATCAGCAATCATTTCTCGAATCCCAGATCTACTCAAGTTGAACAGGTTGCAATACAATTCCACAATGTTTGTCATTCATATTCAAGCTGGATTTTCATGAGATGAAGTTCATTCTATGCCAGCACCAAGCTGTTTAACCATATATTTTAGAGGATAATCACAGAGTGCTGAAAAATCTTTGCTAATTTTGGGATTCTGCAGGGAAGGAACTTTTTTTCTGATTGTCAATCATTTTGGAGAGGAGAGCGATTACATTTTGTCTCAGCTGCAGTCTAATCCAGAAAGTCTTTTCCTTTATCTGAAGACTCTCATTGAAGTTCATTCAACAGGCACCCTAAACTTCTTTTCTTTAAGAAAAGATAATGCTTCAAACTTCTCCAGTGGAAGAAATAAGAAACATATGTCCTCTGAAGTCTACCTGGAAGCCTTGTCTGACTTACCTAAGCTCCTGCAGAACTATCCAATTCACATAACTGATGAAATGACGGAGCTTTATATTGAGGTGAGTATTGTACTCAACTGGGTTGCGTCTATGTAGAAAGCTTGTTTATGGGTAATTTTATCCTCCATCGCATGATTTGCTTCCACCTTATGTTTTTCTTATAGAGTAAGGTAATTTAATTTAAAGTAGCAAGAAAGTGCAGATCATGTTCAAGAAATGGACTTAGGTTCCTATTCTAGACTTAATGAATCAATTAAGTACAATATATTACCAAGTTCACTCACTGTAAATCCTCCAATTCATCCCAGTTCTTCAGCCCTTCTCCGCATTGAGCTCAATATTTCCATTATTGTGACAAATAAATAAAGAGAAAGTGGATCTCCCTACCTCAATCCCCAATGAGATTTTAAAAATGCATCTGGAAATCCACTAATTAAAACTGAAAATCTGACAGTAGACATGCAAATGCTAATCCACTTGATCCACTTCTCGCCAAAATTCATCAACTTCACGATATACAGCAAACAAGACCAATTTACATGGTCATAAGATTTTCCTAGATCTGATTTACATACTACCCCAGCATCTCCTTTCCTCAACTGATGATCATTGATCAATACATTCATTTGCCACCAAAGCTGCATCAATTATTTGTCTCCCTTTAGTAAATGCATATTGGTTGCCTGATATTAGCTTATTTATCACCTTCTTTAATAGTTGTTAGCTTTGCGATTATTTTATATACACCTCCCAGTAAGCTTATGTGCCTGAAATCGTTAATTCCGCAGCTCTTTTCTTCTTAGGTATCAAGGCAATAAAAATAGAACTTAAGTTTCTAATAAAGGTTCGTGATAGAAGGAAGAACTTCACTGTCTTCAGAACATCTCCTTAACAGTACACCAACATTTCTGGAAAAAAACCATGGTAAACCCATCAGGCCCAAGGGCCTTGTCCCCATCAAATAGTTTAATCACAGCCTGTAATTCATCTTAAAGAAAAGCACCTTTAAAGCTAATCACTTCCGTCATCAGATAATGTTACCAGATTTTTATCAATCCACTTTGGTCTCCACTTTTCAGTTTCTGTAAAAATATTATCATAGAAATCCAAGATATGTTCTCTGTTCTCTGATAAGCCTTTCATCATCTACTTACTCTCCATCAATGCTGATTTTGTCAATACAGTTATACATTTTATGTGCATTAACTTGTTTGTGAAAGGATTTTGTAATTTTGTCTCCCTTCTTCATCCAAAGGCATCTAGACTCTTGCCTCCAAGATATATCCTCAGCTTTGACAATTTCTTCTAGCTCCCTGTTAATAAATTTCTTTCAAAATTAGCCAATTCTTTCTCTTGGAGCGTAGCACTTCCGTGATCAAGTTTCTCTTGCTTTTCCATGGCTGGTCTCTTCCTTTCGTCCAATCTACCAAAGCTTTTTGATGTCAGTTTTTAACATTTTAACTTTTTAACAAGAACAATATCAGGTTTTCCATTAATCTCATATGGTTTCCACCATTTATCCACCGAGTCAGCAAGTTTGCACTTTGTGTCCTTGCTTACTTTCGTAATGAGAACTTGAGATCCTTGTCGTGACCCATTAACTCCAAATAGTTTCAAGAGCATGTTGCATAGCTGCTAAGTTTGTCTACAATGAAGGAAGATATGATCAACTGTGTAAAGTGAATCTTCACTCAGAGTGCATCAGCTACAGAGCATAATATTATGCCCTGGTGTAGATTATCCTGAGTCAAACAAGAGCCTTAAGCTGTAATCCACCCAAAACAAGCAACTTTTGTGGGTACTTGACTCCATTTTCCATTTTTTCAAGGCCACCTCTGTTACCGTATTTCCTAGTTGAATTACAATTATATAGTATGATTTGACTGAATAAAGACTTCTTCCACTGCCTGTCTAAACAGTAGAATCCCGTTGGTCCCTTTCCATCAGCACATCGTCCATCATCCGTAGCAACAGGTTGACTCCTATCTCCCAACAACAACATACCTAATGAAATCCCACAAGTGGGGTCTGGAGAGAGTATAGTGACCTTACTACTACCTCGTGGAGGTAGATAGGCTGTTTCCAAAAGACCCTCGGCTCAAGTGCAGGAAATCTAAGTACGAAGAAGAAGATAACAGTGAAGAAAACATAGCAAATATTAAGGGAAACAGTGCAAAGCCTACAAGAAACAAGAACAACAACTAGAGAGTGCGATAACCTAAACACAATAGAAAACAAATGGTGATAGATATCAAAAGCACGGACTACAAGAATACGGCTGGTATAACGACAAACACCAACAAGTCTAAACCCTTGAAAAGCATGACAACACTCCACTACCTACTAACCTTCTACCCTATTATGCATCCTCCATACCCACCTATCTAAGGCCATGCCCTCGGTAATGTGAAGCTGTGCCATGTCATGCCTAATCATCTCTGCCCAATAATTCTTCGGCAGGACTCTTTTAAAGACCCTCCTTCTGTCGAATTGTCTAACCCATAATCTGTTCTTCTCCCCTTTTCTTCTACTTCACGTTATGTTGTGTTCAACCATGAATATAAGTTAGATTTTGCTTTTATTACAGTTACATTTTTCCAGCCTTCTGTACTCTCTTCCTGTATCTCTTTGTTTGGTTTCTGACCTTGGTTGTGCTGTCTCAATGCCAATTCTTTCTAGGCTCCCTCCCTATGCTCACTTACATCCTTGCTCCTATCCTATACCTTGTGCAAAATAATTTAACCTGATTATCAGAAAAGCTGTCTTTGGATGTTCTGAACAAAAGCCAAATGTTGTCACAACAACAACATACCCAGTGAAATCACACAAAGTGGGGTCTAGGGAGAGGGTAGAGTGCTCGCAGACCTTATCTCTACCTCTTGGAGGTAAGAGATGCTGTTTCCGAAAGACCCTTGGCTCAAGTGAAATGTTGTCTAAACATGGAAGATAACTGTGTCGTACAGACTTTTTGCTCTTGTACTCATACATTGTTAAAAATGCTCTATATTAGAGGTCTACCTTTTATCCTATATAGGTGAGACGCCTTTCTAGTTCACTTTCTTTTCCTTAAATGTCGTTTTAGCTTATTGAGAATGAACTTTCTCCTGATATGCCCTGTATCGATGGAAATACCTGCTCGGCTCTTATCTTTTTTTTTTTTTTTTGGATCATATAACTGGAGTTTCATTGAAAATGCATTAAGAGGATACTGAACATTACAGCAGAGAGCAAAAGGGAGTCAGCTCCCTGTACAGTGCCTTCCTGTATGTGGCCTAAGGAGCTAACAAAGAAAACAAAATTGATAAAAATTATTTACAGCATGGCCTACACCAACAAAAAAGGTTTACAAGGCATCTAGCTTTTAGGATATTATGGGAGTTTGTACTCCATCAAAGCATCTGTGATTTCTTTCCTTCAATAAGCACCAAAAAATGCAAGCTGGTACCATATGCCATATCTTCTGGATGGACTTACCTACTTCCCACTGCCCCCAATTTCTGTAGACTTCGTTAGTTTGTTTTGAAAGTGCATTACCAGTGTACCCCAAAAAGGCAGAAGAACATACTCCATATCTCGCTTGCTATCCTACAGTGATATAGGGAGGCGAGATGCATCTTCAGAGTGCTATAGGCACATATAGCACCTACTGTTGATGAGAGCCTCCTTCTTTTCAAATTTTCATGTGTTAAACAAGCACCATATAACACTATCCAGCTGAAGCAAGCGTTTCTGGTAGGAATTTTGACATTCCACACTAGCTTCCGCGGCCAATCTTCTAATTTCTGCTGCTGCTGAACATATTGAAATAGCATGATTTCACTGTAAACATACCATTTTCACTACAGCTCCACCAACTTGTCCATCATGAGGGGGGTTGCCTGTTACTACTTCTAGCCTTGACCAGAAGATTTACTAATTCCTCCAGTTCCCAATCTTGAGTGTTTCTTCTAATAATTAAGTTCCATTTGGTTTCTGTTCTACAGTGACTCACAGCAGCATGTAGAGATGAGGTCAAAAGGTATAGCTACTGGAATTCCTCTTTTAGAGTGTTATTTCCGAGCCATTTATCTTTCCAGAAGACCAGAACCTGATGTATCTACTATTATCTATCTTGAAATGAGTGTTTTGGTTAAATTCATCCTACAAATTACTGATATTTTCCATGGACCCTCTCTTTTACCTCCAACAGATAGGTTTGACTACTTGGCAGTCTGTTTTTCTAGAGTTGTTTTAGTTTTGTTATCTCGGTCTCTGTTTTATTGATCTAAATAAATTAATTGGGCAATTTTTAGTTCAACCATCTGCTGTTAGTGACTATAACTACCAGAATATATGTCGAAAAAAACAGAATATAGAATCCTTCGGGGTGGCCCAGTGGTTTGGGCTTGGGACTTCCATGTTATAGGTCTCAAGTTCAAAACCCCTTGCCAACGAAAGCAAGGGGTTTGCCTTCTGGGTCGAGCTCGTCGCACCAGGCTTGCCTAGTGCAGGTTACCTCTCCTATGTGGTTTGCGAGCTATTGCATAGGACAGGGGTTTTACCCTGTGCACACCCAAAGGGTAGCGGCTGCGGGTTTCCCTTGTCATAAAAAAAACAAACCAGAATACAGAGCTTTTGCTTAAAAGTCTGTTCCAGAAGCCGCTTCCATTTAGAGTCTTACCTAGAGTCGAGCTAACTGCATAGGCAGAGGGGAACTTTCCTATAAAGCCTAATAGCAATTAGCCACATTGGAAACGACGAATCACACTCTGAAAGGAGGTTGTAAAATCTTGACTTAGGTTCTGTAGATGCAATTTTTTCTTATACTGCCATCTAAGTGCAACGTCTTCCTTATAATCTTTTTTTTGTGTAGCTATTATGTAGGTACGAGCGTAAGTCAGTTCTCAGATTCTTGGAGACTTCCGAAAGCTACAGGGTGGAGCGCTGCTTGCATTTATGCCAGGAGTATGGAGTTATAGATGCAGCTGCTTTCTTGTTAGAAAGGGTTGGTGACATCGGAAGTGCCCTTTTGCTTGTTATATCTTCACTCAATGATAAATTCATCCTGCTTGATTCTGCTGTTGAAAGTGAACATTGTGGTACGGCTCCAGGGCATTTCAAAGCTATTTTAAGCAAGAAAGAGGTTTTTCCCTCTACACTCTTCTTCCATGATAAGATTTCTTGTTGTTAGGTCTAGTCCTTTAACATCTTATTTTGTTTCAGGTCACTGACATAATAGAGATTTTACGCACTTGTATTGGACTGTGCCAGAGGAACAGCCCTCGATTGGACCCCGATGAAGCAGAGAGTCTGTGGTTTCAATTGCTTGATTCGTAAGCCAATGTCCTTTATTTGCTTACTCTTACTTACCTTTACTATTCGTGTTTGCCCAGTTTCACAATAGCAAGACTTCAAATTCTAGTGGCAACTGCTTCCCTTCAGGCCACTTGAAATCTTTAGTTCCTTATTTCACTTCGACAGGTTTGTATTCCTGTTGGTATTGGGTTATACACCTCCTGAACAATGATCTCTAGCTTCATGTGAACATATTTAGATGTTAGTAGACTAGGGCATATAATCATTAAGGAACCGCAATGAAATGTTCCGTGCTTTCCTCTGGAGACTGCAGCATGACTACTTGAGATAGCAGCCAACAGACTTTTGCTGAATAAAATTAGAAATTGTAATTAGTTACATCATGAATACTAATAATTATAGGTTTCAATAATCATTCTGGTCTTAGTTTCCTTAATCAAGTGTTGTATCTCAGTGGTTTATGAGTTCACAAGATCCTTAATTAGAAATCTCCCTGTTTAGCCATATCACTGAAATTGAAAATACAACAAGTTCTTTAACTTATCTAACTACTTAATGTTCTGCATGTAATAGAAATTCAATCCAATAAAACAAATTGTAGATCTGGAAAGCTTATTTAAAGTTCCACATGTTCCCAAATTAAGTAACTTCCATCTACAAGTATTATTTCTCATCAAAATAAGTATGCTCCATATATGTTTGTTTTGATCTGAAATCTTCTAAATATGAAACTTATAACTGGATAACTCCATGTTATAAGTAAACATGACAATAGAAAATATATCAATCCATATTTTGTTAGTAAAACAACTACAGCTACAAGGATTCCAAATTATATCGAAATTCAGAAATTCAAACCCAGTGAAAAAAATACATCAAAATAACCAATCAGAAACTTATTTTTATTTGCATGAGAATGACATTTTTTTTTTTTGAAACTGGTAACTTTGTCTCTATTGATAGAAACAGATCAGTACTTGGGACGTACTAGGGCCATGATTACAAGTAAATCCAGATCCTATGATCCCATGTCTATAATGAATCTAACATATCAATCAATAATAGATACATGATCATTAGACCGAATCTGATTACACCAAAAACATAGAATCAAGATACAATTCAATTTGATCCGTTCTATACTATTTTCTATGTTCTCAAAACACCTAGAATTTCTCTCCTTCCAGATTGTCCACCATATGCTGGCTGGTATGATTCTCCACCTACTTCTGCTTCTTGCCAGAACCCAGCTTCTTCCCAACTTTGAAGGGCCTCTGTAACCTAGTCTGGCATAGTCCAGGAAAAACCTTCAAGGTTTATGAATAGCCTCCAAATCTGACATGTGATCTTGCAGTGAAGGAACAAATGCCGAACAGTTTCTGCTTGTTCTCCACAAAAAACGCATCTCGGACATAAAATTATCCCCTTTTTCATCAGATTGTCTTGTGTAAAGACAACTTCCTTAGATAGGAGCCAAATAAAACATGATACTGACATTTAATATCAAGCAAGTGTTAGAACTCATGTATTTTTGTGCATAAATTGTATATAATAACATCTAATTTAAAAGTGTGGTAGTTGGAAGTCATGTTTATTTGTTCCTCAAGGATTAGCTTTTTAGCTAAGTAAAAAGAGTTTTTCTTTTTTCAGGACAAATAAAACATGATTTTGAACTATTTTCTATCCATAATATTCTTTTCTATGTACTCAATGGATTTCAAATCACTGAGCATTGAAATGGATCCTTCTACTTCTTGGGAGGAGTTGGCACCCAATGTGATTCAGGTTCCCCTTCTATGGCTACTCTCAGTCCATTCACCTATTTTGTTGAATGGTAGTAGAGGAAGACAAATGAGATCACCTTTTAGATTCGGGAATATGTGGTTAATTGTGGATGATTTCGGGGTAGAGTTGTTAACTGGTGGAGTAGTTATGTGGTGGAGGGAAGGCCATCTTTTAGGCTAGCCAAGAAGTTGAAATTGCTTAAAGTCTACATAAGGTTGTGGAATAAAGAGTTTATTTGGGAGGGTAGAGGTGAAGATAAGGGAAAGTATGAACGAAGTAAGGGGATTTGGAGAGGATAATAGTGTGGAGGGAGTTAGAAGAGAGGAAAAAAGGATTGGAAAGGGAGGTAACTGACTTGGTTTTTGCCCAAGAGGTCAATTGGAGGCAAAATCGAGGGGAGTTATGGTTAAAGGAGGGGTTAACACAAAATTCTTCCACAGGATAGAAGTCGCAAATAGGAGAATGTTATAGATTTGGTGGAGGTCGATGGGGTGAGCCATGTGTGGAAGGAGGAAGTAGAAGGGGCAGTAGTAGATTCTTATGAAAAGTTATCTAAAGAGGAAGCAGAGTGGAGGGACTACATTTGTGGTTTAGGAGAGGACAATTGAGGAAGAGATGAAAAAAGCTGTGGAGTGTTGTGTGAGTGACAGTTCTGGGCACAGATGGTTTCTCTTTCGTTTTTTTTTTCGAGCAATAATACGATCAAAACTGATTTTATTGATACTTTGTTGAGTTCCAAAATAGAGGTGAATTCAAAAGAAGTATGAATGTCTCGTTCATTGTCATCATCCCTAAATGTGATGGAGCGACGAGCATAAAGGATTATAGACCTATGATTCTGATGGGAAGCATATACAAGATTATATCTAAGATATTTTACGTTAGACTTAAGAAGGTGCTGGATGAGACCTTTTCCACTACACAATGCTTTTGTGGAGGGCAAACATAGTTTGGATGTAAATTTGGTGGCAAACGAAGTGGTGGATCCAAGGTAAAAGTAAGGGGTGTTTGGTGTGTTGTGCAAACTTGACCTTGAAAAGGCTAATGAATCATGTAAATTGGAAATTCCTAAATTCCATTATGCTTCAAATGCAATTTGGGGAGAGGTGGAGGACGTGGATCTGCTTTTGTATATCTTGGGTGAGATTTTCTTCATTGGTGGTTGGTAACCTGTGCGGCATTTTGGGAGCTCAAGGGGTTTGAGAATTGAGACAAGGAGACCCTCTATCACCGATGTTTATTCTTGTTATGGAAGCTATGAGCACGATGATGGATAAAGCTATCTTGGGGGGTTACTTGAAGAGTTTCGATGCTGTAGTTGGGAGTGTAAGGGCAATTTCAATGTCACACTTGTTAGTAGTTGATACCTTGGTTTTTTGTGATGCAGTCAAGGCCTAGCTTGACTATTTAGGCCAAGTTCTTATTTGGTTTCAGGCAGTGTCAGACCTTAAAATTAATTTGAGGAAGTGTGAGATTATTCCTGTGGGAGAGGTGCATAACATTGGTGTAAAGAAATGGATCTTGAACCTAGGGCTGGGCATTCGGTAATTCGGTTCGGTTTCGGTTTTTTTTTCCAGTTTTTTCGGTTTTCGGTTCTTGTACCACGTGTACCGAACACCGAACCGAATTATTTTGGTTCGGTTCGGTTTTTATTATTTCGGTTCGATTTATATTATTTCGGTTCGGTTTTTGTTAGTTCGGTTTTTTGTTACAGGAGGGTAGTCAATCGTGAATAAGCATCACTAACAGAACGGTGCTTGTTGTCAACGGAAAGAGAGCTGGCTTCCGATTCTTCTTCTCTACCTGTTGTACTAAGATGCCGCATTAGTACACTTCCATGTCCTATCTCAACAGAAACCATAGGCTTGTCACTCTCAAAAAGCACTACCTGCTGGAGTGCTGCTCCGATGGTCGGCTGGCGGCTTCTGCTGGTCGGCTGCTAGTCGGCCGGTCGCTGGTCGACGCACCGCCGCCGGAAGTGGAAGTGGGAAAGAGGGTCAGTGAAAGCGGCGTCTAAGAAGAATGAAAACTCAAGTTAAAGTGAAGCGTGGTCACTATTATTCAGTGATCTAATTCAATTGTGCATATACTGATATTTATTATTTAATAATTAATATTAATAATTAATATAATATTAGTATATATTATAATTATAATATAATATATTTCGGTAAATCGAAATACCGAATAATACAAAAGTCACATACCGAAAACCAAACCGAAATACCAAAAAATACGAAAATTTATACCGAATACCAAACCGAAAACCGAAAACCGAAATATCGAAAAAATTTGGTTCGGTTCAGTATTTCGGTTTTTCGGTATTTATGCCTAGCCCTACTTGAACTTAACTCAACCCCAAAATCTAGCTCATGAGGGAGGATTGCTCAAGTCCATATAAGGACACCAATTAACTTCATCCCACCCAATGTGAGACTCACACACCCCTCACGCCCAAGACTGGACATCTGGAGCGTGAGCAATATATAAGGACACCAATTAACTTCATCCCACCCAATGTGAGACTCACACCCCTCACGCCCAAGACTGGACATCTGGAGCGTGAGCAATATATGATGGGCGCCCAACATTTGGTAAATAGTAAATTGGGTTGATCTTGGCTCTGATAATATGCTAAATAGACCTTAGGCTTTACTCAACCTCAAACACTAGCTTAAGGGGGAGGATTGTCCATAGCCATATAAGAGTCCAAGTCACTTCATCATCCGCCCATGTGGGAGTGTTCTTTCACCCTCTTTCCCATCGCACGCCCAAACATAGTCGGGGACATAGTTCGGTATTGGAGCGTGAACAATCTGTCTAGGGGCCCAACACTGGAGGCCCGACTCAGATACCATGTTAAATTTACCTTAGCATGAGGGGAGGATGACTCAAGTTCATATAAGGAGACCAATTAATTTCATCTCACCCGATGCGAGACTCAACAATTGGATTGCTTGATAGAGTCCAAAATTGTAGAGTTGGGGCTCTTCGATTAGATAGCTTGAAGTACTGGTAGGTGCCTCAAAACAAGGATCATTCGGCTAAGTTGCTTGGACTTAGGGGCAGGTATCCGACATGGATGCAAATCCAAGGGTCGGATTCGGCAAAATCTAAATTTTAATATTCGGAGGTATGGATCAAGGTATGGATACGGGTGCGGGGATTCGACTAAACAATCCAAAATTATAAAATGGAGATTTAAAAATATTCTAAACTTTGAAAGACCCCCAACTTCTTCTTTCACGCTCTCTAGTTCTTCCCCTCAAAAAAGAAAAAGAAAGTCATTCAAGGCCTTCCACCAACTCTCCTTATAGAGCGTTGCCACTGTCTACCAAAAGTCGGAACACAAGTAAACAACCACTTGAATTCTTTGTTTCTCTCCATTTGGCTTGAAATATGAAACAATGAATATTGACCAACAGGAAAAGCTAAAAAAAGAGACAAAGGGTCTATATGCCATTTCTCATGTCTTAAATTTATTTTATCTTTTATCAAAATCTCAATTTTCAAAATTTGTTGACAAAGTATCCAATGTGGGTTGACCGAATCCCACACGTATCCCGCACCCGCCTCGTGTCAACACGGGTGTGATAACAAATATGAAGAGTCCGTGCAACTTAGTCATACGGTGTGGAATCTGGTTCTTTAGAGGGTTGAGAAAGACTAGTGGGGAGGCCCTCTGGAAGGGACTAGCAGGGTGGCAGAAAAGATATTTGTCCAAAGGTGGAAAAGAGGTGCTTATTAAGAGCACATTATTGAACATTCCAACATACTACATGTTTTTGTTTCATGCTTTGACATTGGTCACTGAAAAGTTGGGAAATATTCAGAGAAATTTTCTTTGGCATGTGGTGGGAGACTATCATATTTCCTAAAAAATGGGGAGTCCTTGAAATTAAGATTTATAAGTTTTTAATAAAGCTTTATTCGGAAAATGGTTGTGGAGGTTTGGGCCACTTTGGGGTGGAGGTACAAGCTTTGTGGAGGGGGTGATAGTTGATGAATATGGAAATTACGGAGGGGGTTGAAAAACTAGAGATATCGTTTTGCCTTTCAGTTATGGTTTGTGGAGGAATATCATGAAGGGACAGGATAATTTTGTGGAAGATCTCTCAGTCAAGGTCGGAGATGGTAGAGAGTTTAATTTTGGGGACATAGCTAGTGTGGGGACATATTATTGAAATGTGGATTTCAGAGTTTGTATAGACTTTCTTGCCAAAGAGGCTTGACAATTCAACTAATTCAGGAACACAAAGTAGAGGGAATTTTCAAGATTGGGAAATGGGTGAGTTTCAAAGATTGTTAGCCCCACTTAATAGTTCATTGGTAAGTCAATCCAGTGGATAATCTTTGGTGGTGGGGCCTGGGAAATAATGGTATGTTCTCTGTAAGTCCTTTTCCTGAGGAACTTTCGGTTAAGGAGGAGTTTGTTCCCATGCAAGTGTTCCAAGGGTGCCGAGGATGATGTGTTTTTTCACTTGGCTAGTCACTAGAGGGTTGATCTTGATAGCAGAAACTTGTCTGCATCAGTTGGTGTTACATGTGTAAGGAGAGGGGCAAGGACATAGATCATCTTCTTCTACATTGTGGGTTAACCATGAGATTATGATGGATACATTTAGGTGGTTTGACACTCATTAGGCAATGCCAAAAACTGTGAGAGAGTTGGTGTTCAGTTGGAAGAGCTGGAGAAGGAGGAGAAGATGAAGAGTTTGGAACATGGTTCCGCTTGCGTTATTGTGGGTAGTTTGGAGAGAGAAATATGAGAGCCAGAGTCAAGCTTCTCTCAGTTGATGAGTGGTAATCTCCGATTGGTCATTTTCTTTTGGTGTAAAGAGAGTTGCTGGTTGTATAGATGATTGGGTAGAGTTTGTAGAGAATCATGTTTTGTAGATTCTTTACTTTTTGGCATATCCCTTGCATATGGCCAATATGGCCATGTTAATGGATGAAAATATGTTTACTTGATTTTTAAAAAATTCATCTGCATCACCTATTAATTCCCTCTTTTTATTCCTTGTACAGTTTTTGTGAGCCTTTGATGGATTCACATGATCATATAATAAGATATAAAGAAGAAGAATGCGTGCAAGATGGCGAGCGGGCTTGCAAAATTCAGTGGAAGGTGTCAAAATCTCATAGAAATGCTCACATCCTCAGGAAATTGCTCTCTGTGTTTATCAAAGAGATTGTTGAAGGAATGATTGGATATGTAAGCCTCCCGAGGATCATATTAAAGCTTCTTTCTGATAATGAGACACAGGAATTTGGTGATTTCAAACCTACTATACTGGGGATGCTTGGAACATATGACTTTGAGAGGCGGATTTTGGTAGGTTTCCTTGTCTCTTTTTTATCTCTCCTTTTTTTTTTTTGTTAATTATAAATGGCATGTCAATTGTACATCATCCATTCACACAATCTAAAATTGTAAATTGCTTGTGAACATTTACTTAAATAGGTCTTTCCTTGTTGTTTGGTGTCTGAATGTCATCTGTTGGCCTACACCTTTTTTTTAATTGGTTGTAGAAAGAATTCCCATATCTGGCTACTCAATGTGTTAAACCTTTTGTCTCTGGATTTCTCACTAGGAAACCTTTGATTAATTGATGAAAATATGAAGTGAAAAATAATTAATGTCCTCTTGTGCATGAGTTGAAGTCTGTATTCTTGCATCTGTGACATCCTTTGGAAGCAACTCTTTCTGTTGCTTGATGCCCAATTTCAAAATACCTGAACTTTTATATTAGGAACCTCAATGTGGAAGTTGATTTTGCAACAATCGTTCAAGGGACTGATCCTTCAGTACTTGCTTGATTTATTTTGTCCGAGTAGCTGGAGATGCAGCACAATCATCATTCTTGATTTCTAACCAGAACAGCTAATTAGAAAACAAAATAAAAAAATTGGTAATTTTCATTGGAATTAGTGCAATGAAGTTCATATCAGCTAAGTAATATGACTGCGTTAAACTTTTTACTTGCCATTTTATCCTGTAAAGGCCTTCTAGGTTTCCAGAGTTTTCCTTTTTTTTTTTTTGTTTGGGTGGGTGGGTGTTGACAAGTTCTAGCTCTTCAAGGCTAGACTCCTTTGTGATAAAGGATTCAGATCTGGACGCTTAAAGTAACTGTACCAATCTCTGACAAGTATTTTCATACTCTTCTTTCACACACTGTTACAGGATACCGCTAAATCATTGATTGAAGATGATACATATTCCTCCTTGAGCTTACTGAAAAGAGGAGCTTCTCATGGATTTGCACCTCGGAGCCTCCTATGTTGCATTTGTAACTGTCCCCTCACAAAAGATTTCTCAGCTTCTAGCATTCAAATTTTTACTTGTGGTCATGCAACACATCAGCAATGTGAACCTCAGGAAAGTGAAGCATCAATCAGGGGTAACTCAACAGGATGTCCTATTTGTATGCCAAGAAAGAATTCGGAGAAGTTGAGAAGTAAATCTATGCTTGTGGAGAATGTATTGGTGAAGTCTATATCAAAATCCCATCAAACAAATGGTACGACTGGTCTATATCCACACGAGAATGATGGTTTCGACAACTCCTATGGACTTCAGTCCGTTTCAAGGGTATGAAAGTTCACTATTAATAATTCTATGCTTGATACTCCCATGTCCTTACCCCTGCACCCCAAAAGTCTAGGCTTGACTGATCACATGTGAAATTATGCAGTTTGACCTCCTCCTTAATCTTCAAAAAACCCACCAGTCTATGCAAATAGAGAATATCCCTCAATTGAGGCTTGCACCACCTGCTGTATACCATGAAAAGGTTAAGAAAAGAAATGTTCCCTCGGCTGGAGAAAGCAGTAATGGTCTGGCAAAACCGGAGAAACCAAGTAGGAGTAAGCATCTCAGAGATGTTAAACTGAAGGGATCGTCTTTAAGGTTCCCCCTAAAAACAAATATATTTGGTGAGATTGCTGTTTTGTTCTACACATTCTTGATCCTTAGAAATTGTACCTCATATTTCTAAACCTTTCTTAAATGTCATCTTTTGTAGGTAAAGAGAAGAACATTAAGCTGTGACAATAACACTTTCTAGCTGGATGCAATCGTTGTTTTCCTGGTATATCTTCGCTACCTTGTATATTATAGCAGAAACTGAATTCGCGAGAGGGACAAAGTATGGCTACTGAGGGAGGTTAGAGATTTAGGATGTTTCTGCTCTGTACATTTGTTATATGCCCCATTTTATATATGAAATCAAAAACAGTATAAGAAAGCAATGCTCTGATGTAGTGCTTAGATGAGTAGTGAGTTTACAGAAAATTTCAACCTTGTATTTTTTTCTCCGTAAAGTAAAATATATTTGAGGATACTGGATATTGCTATGTGATTTTCTTAATTTTGTCATAATTAAGTGAAAGGAAAAAAGTTTAACTGTATTCCAAAATTCACAAGATACAAGCAGTATTGTTTTCCCCAATCCGCAATCTGCCCAGTGTGAATTTTTTTTAAAAATATTTCAACCCGCCCCACTTTTCCCTATGAGAACGATTACTCCTCTTTGTGTATATTCACTTTTTTGCTGATTTGGTGACTCGAAGCCAATGTTAGATGTAAAAAAGTGTTCACCATCTAAGTAACTCCATCTTGTCTCTTTATAATTAGTATAAGTATTGGGAAGATTTTTTTATTTTTTATCAACCATATATAATAAATCAGCTTTGATTCCTTCAGTTATATATTGTTGCATTACTTGAAAGCTGAATTCTGCAAGTCTGGTCAAAGTCTTCTTTTTTCCTAGTAAAATGGCCAACGAATATGTACAAATAGCAAACAGAAAAAAAATATAGAACAAACTAAATACTCCATATATACATAAAATTTGTTATCACGATGTCAATTGATTTAATATAAATTCTGACATCAGTCATTTACAGATGAGTATAACTTTGAATGCAGTTTCGCATAGGGTGAACAAAATTGAATCGAAAGTTGAGTTAAAAAAAACAGATTAGGGGTGAATAAAATTGAATCGAAAATCGAGTCAAATTGAAAAAAAATAGACTTGTGGTTTGGTATTGAAAAAAAATTCGACTATACTCTAGTTGATTTGGTTTTAACTAAAAAAAAGTTAATATGAGACCAAATTAACTCAACATTTTATATATAATTTTTTATTTTATATATTATTATTTGCTTATATTTTATATATTATTTTACAGGATTAGAAATAAAGGTAACAACAATATTTTTGTAGGATAAAAAATATGAAGGACTTTATTTATTTTGTAACAACAATATGTTTGTGGTGAATTTTTCGTATATAGTGATTTGATTTGTGGAGTGGTTTTTAAATTTATTTTGTTCGATATTTTTAATTATATTTAATTCATCATGTTAATATTATAACGTAATTTGACTCTCAAAAACACTTTTTTAAAAAATTAACCAAACACAATTTTTTTTTTTCAAAAGCACTTTTAAAAAAAGTCATTTTACAAAAGTGCTCTTAGAAATAAACAGTTTTTTAGCAGCAATGCCAATGCAATCATGTTCGGATGTGAATAATTGAAAATGCAGGCATGTGAGCTCATAAATAGATTTTTTGTTAGTATTTTTTGTCCGTTTTTATCCAGCACACTTCCTACAAACATAAGACACTTAATAAGCTTAATATAATCCAATAATACATAAACACATTAGGTGATAACATACTTGAAATATATGCTTTTGAGCTGTATATCAGTTATTTATAGCAATACATTATTTTTTCAATTTTGATTCCATTCATTCGCAAACACCCCTAATAAATAAGGAAAATTTATAAAGCACTATCTAATATGGATGATTAATCTTTATAGTAAACTCCAATTTTTGACAAGAATATAAACAATCAGAAAACAATTTATTTTCAATAATTGTTTCAATCTCTATCGGTAATAGCTATATATCAGAAGGTTCTCCGAAACTTAATTTTTCTCCAATCATAAATGTCATAAAGCAATTAAACTTGTCAACACTGGAGCAGTAGTCAAACTAGTTTTCAATTCCTGAAAGCTTTTCTCACAATCTTTAGACCATTGCACTTAAGTCTTCTTTTGAGTGAACTTAGTCAAAGGAGAAGAAATTGATGAACCCTTCTACAAACCTTCTATAGTAACCAGTCAAACCTATTAAAATCCTTATATCAGTTGAGGATGTGGGTCTGGTCCAGTTCATTACTGCATCTATTTTCTGCTGGTCAACCTGAATACCTTCATTGGAAATAATGTGACTAGGAACGCCTCAGAATTCAGCCAAAATTCACACTTTGAAAATGACTCACAGTCCTTTGATGTCAGGATATCATTGATGTCAAACACAATAACAAACATATCCAAGTACTACTTAAGTCTCTGATCCATAAATGTTGCAAGAGCGTAAGTTAAACTGAAGGACATAACAAGGAACTCAAAGTGATTGTAACAGGTCATGAAGGTCGTCTTCAGGATGTCACTTTTTCAGCTTTCAACTGATGATAGCTGAATCTGAGGTCTATATTAGAGAAACAAGTGGCACCCTGAAGTTGGTCGAACAAGTCATCAATTCTAGGGAGGGGATACTTATTCTTTATGGTGATCTTGTTCAACTAGCGATAGTCAATACACATCCTATGGAACCATTTTTCTTTCACATGACAAAAGACAAGAGCACCCTAAGGTGAGACACTCGGTCTGATGAAACCCTCATAAGTGAGATCCTTCAACAATTCTTTTAACTCTTTCAACTCAGTTGAGGCCATTCTATATGGTAGAATAGAGATGGGTTGACTATCAGGAAGGACATAGATTCCATAGTCTATCTCCCTGTCGGGAGGGACTCTAGGAAGATAGTTAGGAAGGACTTCTAGGAACTCAGTCATGATTGGAACTGAATGAAGCGGTGGGTCTCACCACTAGAGTCTTTAACTTTGATTATGTTGTAGATACACCCTTTGGAAACTAACTTTTTAGCCTTAAGGTATAAAACAAAATGACCGTTAAGCACTGTTGGACTACCTTCCCACACTAGTACCGACTCACCTAGAAACTAAAACTTTACGACGTGGGTCCTACAATCAACTGAGACATAATAAGCATATAACCAGTCCATGCCTAGAATGACATCAAAATCCACCATATCTAACTCATCGAAGTTAGTCGTGGTGTCTTTATGATGAATTGAAATGGTGCAATTTCTATAGACTCTCTTAGCAAGAATAGATTCATCAAAATGAGAAGAAACAATGAAATGCTATCGAAGTTGTTCGGGACCAATCCCAAATTTCATGGCTATATATGCTTGCATTGGTTCCAGGGAAAACCTCAGTACTTGTGGTATTTCTCTGACCGGCGGTACACTTTGGAGGCATGATCTAAAATACACGAACACATGAGTTAGAAGAAGCTTTTTTAAATTTGAACTTTATCACACAAACTAAAATATGAAAGAAGGGTGATATTTCCTAATGTACTGTAGCCTTCCTATTATAGATGTGGTGCTTTTCACACCCATAATGACTCTACTAGACACAATTTCATAGACATCATAGGAAACTTGAAATTTATGCTTTGATACCAAGTTTGTCACGCCCCGAGCTTATACCCTGGGCATGTCCAACATTCGAAAACCATTGCTGGTCCCAAGTGAACTTTTAGCCTGATTGACTACTGAGTGATAGACTAAACAACTATGGAGAAGCTTTAAAAAAGATGAGCATGTAAATCATTTAAAGATACTTTAAGTAGAGGTCTAATATAAATTTGAATAATGATGATATTGTTGAACATCTAAATATCAACCACTCAATTGACTCACTAACTTGTCCATGAAGCCTCCTCTAAACTGAAATAGGTGCTAGGACAAGACCCATAACTACCTAAATAATAACTAAGTTTCTAATAAAACTGAAAGACATAATTGATAAGGAGCCCTCTGAAATTAAGGAGGTCTCACCAAATACTGATGGAGGAAAGATCTCAATGAAACACCTATTATCAATCCTGAACACCTATATCTATATCATAAAATTATGCAATGTCGAATGACGTCAGTATATGAAATGTACGGTATGTAAAACGACTGAAATAAACATTGACTAACTGAAATACGTATGTTGTAAGGGAACTGAAAGTAACCCAAGTTGAAGTAAAACATGTAAATGTAATAAAAACAAGCAAATTGTTACAACTGAGTTAATGCAATATACAAAGACTAAAATAATATACTTTACTTTTCTTGGGGGGTTTCCATAACCGAAAATCATCATTAAGAGCCTTGTGATGATACAATGTCTTGCGCACATTGCCAGAGCCATACAATACTTTGCCAGGGTAAAAGAGGAGATGAACTTATGGATCCATCTTTAAGACCTTACCATAGGCTGTGTGAGGAGTCGCCCGAATCAATTCTATGATCCTATCCTATGATGGCTGCGTAGTTTATGGAGTTAGAGTTATATAAACGCTTATCCAACTCGATGCTCAATACTACTCCCAACACATGCATTAATGCTTATATAAATACATGTGTTTAGTAAATACTCAAAAGTAATTCTTTGAAATCATACTAAACTTTCCTTTAACTGACTACTTCTTTCTAAAACTGATGATTCTTTCTCTAAAACTAGTCATGCACTTACTATGGAAATAATACATTTGAAATGCTTAGTGTTCCTTTAGAACTCTTCTTAAATGATAACTTAAATAATTGAAACATACTTTGAGTCTGAAAACAATTAATGCATGGAAGTAAAAGTGCAAAAGCTTTCAAGCAATTCCTTGCTAATTAGTGTTCATGCTGTAAAATATGCATGGACAATAATCACGGATCAGAAATACATGGAGAACTAAAATATCAATGATAAGAATCAGAAATCAATGAAAAGGAAGTAAAGGCAGTTCAAATTCATGAAACGTGGGATAAAAACCCTAGGTTTAATCTCACTAACTAAACTCTAGATGTAGGGCATGAGGATGAACTTAATCCATCACTATGACAGCCTTACATATATAAGAGGACACGAGTTTTTTAAGAAATTTGATGGAGATGCTTGAAACCCTAGATTTGTTTTTTGATTCTTGTTCTAAGTCTTGGGAGCGATTATGAGAATAATTTGGATGCATAATACTGACAAGGTACTTAATTGGGTCCCAAAACGTTAGGGATTAGGCTTAGAAAGGGTGGGAAAAAACTAAAATATTCCCTTAAAAAAATTGATGGAGCCTTTTACGGTTCGTATATTCTTCTACGGGCCGTAGAAGTCTAGATTTTTGGGTTTCTAAAGTTCTGTTTTATGGACCCTTTTACTGGCCATAAACCCTTTATGAGCTGTAGAATGGTTTGTAAAATGAGACTTGATTCTTTT